GATCATGTGGACATCTGGATAAACCATCGGCATCAGCGTTTCTTTTGCCAGCTCTATACTGTATGCTGAAGCGAGCCACCTATGTCCTGCAGCATCTTGCTTGGCTGATGTCAAAACATAGGTCAGAGGATTATTATACGTCATGACCGTGAACTCTGCGCCATAAAGGTAATCAAAAAATGTATCGTGACAGCCCATTTAAGTCCTGAAAATTTGAGTTTGTGAGTGGGGTAACATCACTCACAGTTAGACAAGCCTCGACTTTCATAGGCAATTACCCTTATCTCACAGTTTTGCTCCTGATATAGAGCTGCTCCAAGCCCATGCAGGCTAGCATCATCGTGCAAGACATATGGCTTCCTGGAATTGGCGAAGCCAAGGACCAGAGCAGTCGTCAACTTTTCAATGAGTGCTTTGAATGCATTCTCACAATCTGAGGTCCATCGCTCATTGAAGGGTCGCTTCAGGTCAGAGTTTGAGAAGAACTTTGAACTTTTGGACTTCTTCCGCGGAGGAAGGTAACCAGCAGTCAAGGCGTTAAGAGGTTTGGCAATTTTTGCATAATCCTTGACGAACCTCCTGTAATATCCAGTAAATCCTAAAAAGGATTTCAACTCACTGATATTGGTTGGAATAGGCCAGGTTGTCAGAGGAGCAATTTTCCCTGGGTCAGTCTCCACTCCATTTTCTGAGACAACATTACCTAAATATTTGACTGACTTTTTGAAAAAATTGCACTTTCCAGGGGATAACTTGAGATCAAATTCCTTCAGCCTGCTTAAGACATCCATGAGACAGCGTTCATGTTCCTCAAGCGTGTCAGAGAACACAATGAGATCATCGAGGAACACTAAGACTTCCTTGAGGTTGAGAGAGCCCATGCATTTCTCCATGACTCACTGGAAGGTTGAGGGGGCGTTCGTGACCCCCTGGGGCATTCTGTTAAATTCCCAGAATCCCATAGGTGTAACAAAAGCCGTCTTATGTTTGTCCTCTTTGTCTACCTCCACCTGATAGTAGCCCGATTTGAAATCCATAACAGTAAAACATTTGGACCCTGTGAGAGCGGCAAAGGTTTCCTCTATATTGGGCAAAGCATACGCATCCTTTATGGTCTGATTGTTCAACTTTCTGTAGTCGACACATAAGCGGATGTCACAATTTTTTTTCTTTACAACAACTATTGGTGAGGCAAACAGGGTTTCTGATTCTCTTATAATGCCAGCATCCAAAAGTTCTTCGAGATGAAGCCTAACAGCCTCATAATCTGACGGGTGAATGGGCCTCGCTCTCTGCTTAAAAGGGTGTTGGATCAGGGAGACGGATCTTGTGTTTGACTGCAGTGGTTTGACCATAACTGAGGTCGCCTCTTGCAAAAACTTCAGGGATGGAATTAAGTTTTTTCGTGATCCGCTCTTTCCATTCCTCTGAAAGTGGAGAATCAGTGAAGTCAAAAAGTTATTTTGTCGGTGTGGTCTGTGGAACCCATAGCTGTTCTTTCAGCCATACTGCTGGGGGTTGTGACACCGGAGTCTCTTTAGCTTTGTCTGATGAGGTGGATAAGGGAGAGATAGAGTGAGGGATGGAAAGCTCTGCTATGCTATGGCTTGGGGGAACTGTTACGTTGCGTGCTATCTCGTTCTTAAAGGGGAAGTTCGGTTTTTTCAACCTGATCCTTATTTCCAGCATATGGTATGTAGATCTACTCACCCATAAAGGTTTGGAGTAACTTGGAGTCCCTCGGACGCTTTTAGATCCACACGTGATTGGCGTATATCCATGCAACGCAAGGGTTAGGGGCATCCACAATACAGCCTCTAAATAAAGCATTATCTGCCACGATACTCTTTATTTACTAGCGTTAGCGTTAGCTTAGCGAGTTGCTTTGTTTACATACCGAGGCACACAGCCGCAGCTCAGCTGACGATCAGTTGTGTTTGTTATCATGGAGTTTGCTGCTGCTAGTTTTGCGCAACATGGCAGAATACTTATCAGGTGCTTTAGAGTACAGTATTCTTTTAAAGCAGCTGTGTCCTGGTGCTCGGGCGTATTCACCCGGTTAAAGGCTAGCTAACTTCAGCGGGCTAACGAGCAACCTCAGAGCTAGCGTTAGCTTAGCAAACCGATTTGTTGATTAAACAACTCGCTCTCAGTTCGCTAAGCTAACGCTAGCTCTGAGGCTGGCGAGACTAATAGGGGACTAGTGCTGGCGATTCATAGTAAATAAAGAGTTTCGCGGCAGATAATGCTTTATTTAGAGGCTGTATTGTGTATGCCCCAGTCACTTGCGTTGTATAGATATATGCCAATCGCGTGTGGACCTAAAAGCGTCCTAAGGACTCCAAGTTACTCCAAACCTTTATGGGTGAGTAGATCTACATACCATATGCTGGAAACAAGGACCAGGTTGAAAAAAAATGTTCTCCTTTAAGCAGAATGGGGACTTTAAAGCATGTTTGGTGAGGACTTGACATGGCATAACTACAAAGAGACAAACCACTGGGTAGACTAGATGGAATGGATAGCTCTACTAAGAGCGGGCTTTCCTTGTTGGTGGGTATCCTCCTTACATAACCACTCAAAACCCTCTTTTCCACAGCTGGGATCACAATGGCTTTCTTACTGTAGCCGGAGGCTTTCTTCCTCCCGGCCACGGTGTGGCACTAGGTTAATTGCTTGGGTGGCGCCGGTCGACCGCTTATAACCGGGTGAGCGGCCACACCACGCCCTTTCCTTTCCACCCTTTGATCCCTCGGGTGGTGGCTGCGGTGTGGCTGTGGCGTGGCTGCAGCGTGGTGTGGTAAGCTTCTGGGCACATCCCCCATACATACAGGTACGGTAGCGGACTTCTTCTTTTATCCATGACCAGCGCAATGTGCACAGTGGTACACCGACTTCCAACTCTTGCAGCACGACAAGTGGCCGGCTATATCGGCGGATGGGCGGTCCCGCTTCGAGCTCTGTTGGGGTTGTAGTTCGTGTCCGCAGGTAGGCTGGCGTTATCTGCCTGTTTGGTTTTGTCTGTCGCTGGGTCCTCTGCTGACTGTCGCTGGTGCGCTTTCTGTCAGCAGCGTCTCCGCGTCGTCGGCGCAACACTCTTGCCCTTCGGCGCACCGAAGGCAGGGGTGTGGCGTGTCTCGTGCCACCGCCCCCTGGAATCAGTCCTGCTGTTTTGGCTCTGGGTGTTCTGATGGGATCCAGTTGCTCCGTCCTGTGCTGGTTCTGGCTGGCCGCCGTACTCACGGCCTCCCCCCTCGTGTCGGACGGCCGGTGGCGCATCACCAGGAGAACAGCTTCGGCACCACTCATTTTAATCACGATTATATTAAATTGTTTTATTTGGTTTTGTTTATTTCTATCAGTTGTAGGATTTATTCTGTTTGGTATTTTCCTTATTTTGTAGCTGAGTTGTGCATTATCTGTTTTCTTTATTGAGTGTTTATTTTATTTTGTTATTATTGATTTGGAGTGTGTGCATGTGTGTGCATGCAGTTAATGTGTGTTATTTAGTAATCATTGTTTATTTCTTTTATTTCTATTAGGCATTATTTCGAGCACTTATGGCATTATTTTAACTTTTCCTTTTGTGTTGGACAGGTGCTGTGGGCCCCCAGCGGCAGCCCAAATTCCCTGGTGGTGGTGTTCATCACGATCCTCTTTTTAGTTGGTGTGCAGTGTCACGGGTGTCTAGGTTGTGATCCCTCTTCCCTTTTTGCTCCCCTGCCGTGGTGGCAAGCCCCAGCCCTGTCCTTCTTCCTTATTTTCCCCGATAGTTAATGTTTATTGTTTATTTGTGTATTGTTCAATATTAATTTTAATTGTGATAAAAATATATTTTTATATGGAACGCTCTCTGCCCTCTGTGGATAATTGGACGTGTGCGACCTTAGTTGTTAATTCTTTCATTTCCTAGGGGTGAAATTCCCCTAGGTGGTGTTGTTGAGAAAAAACCACAACCCAGTCTGCCACATTACATTGTAGTTTTACTCTTCCGACCATGTCATCGTTTTGTTTGATCTGGCATGTGCTGTACATTTTCCAAATCAGGGGAATGTTGGTGCCTAAAAGAGAAGGACACTCTGCATTGGACCTACAATCTGGGACAACAAGAGCTAGCGTGCTAACAAGTTCAACTTTACCTGTGATGTTTTCTGGAAACTGTATGCTAATCTATATATAACCCAGGTAAGGTACATTTTGACCTCCTGCGCCCTCCACCTCGAGGATGTCTCTAAGGGGCAGAATTGGTAGGGAAGACGTGTCGTGAAATTGGAAATGGTTGTAATCTCTGAACCAGAATCAATAATTGTTTGGCACTGCACTGTTTCAATGTTAACGACAGCAACAGATCTTGGGCCTATTAAAACATTAAGGAGCTCATCCTCAGAGGTTTGTATGTGTTCACTTTCAGCCATTAAACCATGTCACTTATGAATGTCACTATATACTGTACCTTTAAGAATCTGCACTACAAACTAATGTGTGATTGAAACATGATTTACTACTGATTACAATAAGTTTGTGAATGTAATTACGAATCAAATCATATATTCTGTGTGTAACAAGCAGTATGAGGTGATTGTATAACTTGTGTGAAGAAATATTAATCTTTTAAAAAAGACAATCTGACCGAATTGAAACATAATGGTGTCAAATGTAAGAAGAATATCTTTTTAAAAATAGTAAGCTGATTGAACAAAAGATAATGGTGCCAAGAATGAGCAAAACTGTTTAAAAGTGAAATGGACATGCCTGGACATGTCTGGGCAAAACTAGTGTAAGATCCCAACCTGCCCAGTGGAAATTTCCAGAGCTAGAAAAGTGACCAATGAAATGATGACACGTGTGCCCACGATAAAACGATAGACCAATGACCTAATGACACGTGTGTCCCCAAAATAATGATAACCAATGAAATGCCGACAGGTGTGGTCACTAAAGGGTTTATAAGAAAGCACCACACTACTGTTAGGCAGAGTTCTTCTCTGGTTAAGCTCCGGCTTGCTACTGAATGCTCTCGGGTTTTTTGTCGACAATAAACTGTGCTGCTTTTAAGTTGACTTCTCCTGATTTTTATTCGACTGAGTTTTTGGACTTTTGGACCACGAGTGAAACTTAGTTTTCACACACAACAGGCTCCGGTAGGTCCCTTTACTGGGAACCCGTCCAGTTGAAATGTAAAAGCTGTTTAGCTTTCCACTTATCTTGCCTTGCTTTTATTCTTTGTATTTCTTGTCCACAGCAGCTTTGTCGACATACCTTGGTTCTGACATACCTTGGCTATGTGGCCGTCTTCGCAACATCTAAAACAGAACCAGGCTCTAGGCTGAGGTTTGTGTGGTACCTGATGAGCTTGTGCCTCGGCTCTTGGTGTGGGCAGGTTCTGTTTGTCTGCTGACATTGTCTAATTTTTCTTCTGTTTCTTAGGTTTCTGGGTGCTGTGCTACAGTTTTAGTTCAGCAAGCTGCTGCTTTAAACTTTCCGTCTCAGCGATATACAGTATGCCTGGAGAATGCTTGGACTTGGATCACCATAAGGAGACATGTCAGGCACAGAATGCACATTTGCAGTGACTTTTGGTTTTGAGGCTCCAAAGTGACGGTGCATTCGATCCAACTTTGTTGCTCTTCTATCCTCTTCTGTTTTTAGCCGTAAAAGTAGCTCTGCAAAGTCAAGGTGTTTCTCAGGTTTCAGCTCTAACAGCATGATGAGGTTGTGGTCCCAGCAGCCGCGTTTGAACTGTTTCAGCAGATGATGGCTTGCTGATGACTGACTGACTCCATTTCTCTTCACAGCAGTGCTGAGAAACACCTGAAGCCTTTGCAGATATTCTGAAGCCTTTTCACCCGAGTTTTGGTCCTCGGGTCCAGGCTCTGGCTCACCATCACAATCGACTCATACAAAAAAAACAACCAGAGTTTTTCTTCTCAACAAAACACGATAACACAGCAATGTCCAGCACCCAAAAACATCCCCACGGGTGTGGACACCTTCCGGAACAAATAACTCAAAATAAAATAAAGTTTTAATCACTTTCATCTAGTTATCAACATTGACATGCTCTCTCTCTCGGCTGTAGTGCATCTGCTCTCATCGACATCGGTGTAAGGGAAAAAACAACCCAGCAGAAAAAAAACAAGGGACTGGGGCGTCCGTGGCTCAGCGGTAGAGCAGGTCGTCCAATAACCAGAAGGTTGGCAGCTCAATCCCCGCTCCCACTCGCCACGCCCGAGGTGCTCACCACGCCCCCCCCAACATCCGCTCCCCAGGCACTGGCAACAGCAGCCCACCGCTCCAGCATATGTGTGTGCATGGCATCTGTCATTGTGTGTTTCATCCAGGTGCCAACTGGATGGGTTAAATGCGGAGAACAATTTGTAAAAGTGTTAAACGTGACAATAAAAGTATATCTTCTTCTTCTTCTAAGAGCACGGGTAGCGCTTGTGTGAGTGAAGGCGCACCCTGCTGGTGAAAACAAGGAACTATACAACTACAAACTCATTCAGACTGTATAGCTCAACATAGTTAAACTGGAAATATTTGGGATTACACTGTGTGTGTAACTGAAGGGCATTATACAGAGTTATCAAAAAAGGCATTGTTCATTATTAAAGTTATAAATACATTTTTACTTTTTACTTTGTACTTTTCAGAGCCTGTACTTTCTTACTTTTACTTGAGTAAAGGAGTTGAATCAGTACTTCTACTTTTACCAGAGTCTTTTTTTAACGGTATCTATACTTCTACTTAAAGGTCCAGTGTGTAAGATTTAGGTGAAAGGGAACTATTGGCAGAAATTTAACGTAGAATAATTTCACTAGTTCATTTCATCTAAATTGTATGAATTGTAGTTTTCTTTTCCCCAGAAAAGGCCATTTATATTCAAATACTTTATATTTACATCAAGGGGACCATCTCTACGGAGGCCGCCATGTTTTTTGCATTAGTCCAGAGACGACAAACTAAACACCTTTGAGTTTTTATGACAATTAAAGGCTACCACAGTTTCTTTTTCATGTGAGGGTCAGGTGAGGGATGTTCAGCTGCAACATGCAATTTCGACACTAGATATCACAAAATTCCACACACTGTACCTTCAAGTAAAATTAAAGTCACTTTTTATTCAAACTTGAAACAGTTGTTCCCCAACATTTGCTGGGAAAGTAGTTAAAAGTAGTTAATATTCAGTCTGTTGGAATTCAACAAATAAAATACTATGCAGTTGCTTGTGGATATGCTTGATAATGCTGTCTTAAAATTGAAATACAGCACCATGACTTCAGACCCAGGTTTTTATTGGTCAAAACCACAATCTATTTCTGCTACCTTAAACTGGCAATCACACCAGGAATGCACCCGTCCACACCTAATTTTAATAACATCACACCTATGAGTGGTCAGATGGGTGCAAGTGACTTTGTTATTTATGCAATGTGTATACTGGAAAGAAAAATTACACTGAAAATTACAATGGTCTTAACCTAGCAAACAGCTTAGTCCTGAAACAGACCATTTTAAGAGGTTTGCCTTGTGATCCATCATAGATTGCTCTTAAAATGTAACTATCAGCTTGACCTATGGCATGCCCGACAGACATCTCAAGCTAGCATGGTCCTGTTGTTTGCTATGAAAAAAAGAGTTAAATAAATAGCAAAACCACCACGCCACATAAATAGCAGACAAAAATAACACCTCTGAGAAGCAAGATGTGGAAGTATTAAGGGTGTGTGTGTGTGACAGCCTTAATGACTATGATTAAGGAAGATAACTGAACAGATGTGTGTGGTCAAGTCAAGTCAAGTCAAGTCAAGTGTACTTTATTGTCAAAAATCAATGTAACAGGGTTAGCACAGAAGTTTGAAATTGCGTTTGACCAGTCTCCAATGTGCAAGTTTAAAACATTTAAGTAAGACATTGACAAAATCTCTCTCTCTC